CCATAACCTAATTAAATTACAGTATGTGTACATATTATATGCATATGAGAAGTGAAGACCACAAATTATCAATGGGTGTGAGCGGGAAGATCCAAGTCCTTGTTCTCTTTGATTACTTTCCAAATCTATTGTGCACTAAGGGAAAATCCTGACGCAAGGACAACACCCCTTCTATCGCCAGCAAGCCCTCCTGGAGAAAGCCATCTCTCTTTCTTTCTCTTTTGTGATGCGTCCATCTCAGCCTCCCCAAGCAACTTGGCCGCGGCGTTGCTGCATGCCATGGCGAACAGTTCCACTCGAAAATCCGTCCAATTTGAGCGAGAGTCGAAGAACCCGGGGAGGAATCGGACCTCGTAGTTTTGGATGTGGCTCGCCAGATGAGCCATGGTTTCCAGCGAAAACGAGCTCCAAAAATTTTGGTCTCGGATCTTCAACCTGGATCCCCATCGACAAAATCGAACAACACAGATGGACGGTAGTGTATATGTGTGTCTGAGGGTTTGAAATTAGGGGAAGGGCAGCTGAGCCATGTGAAATTCGGTGAGATGACATAGAGCCGGCGACAGTGATGATGAGTTTTGGGCTGGTTTGGGGATGGAGTCGGCGACAGTGAGATTTGGATTGGAGTTAGATTTGGCGGCGGAGAGTGATGGGTTTTCGGTTGGTTTGGGGAGATGTTGCTTTATTTAGTTGTAGGGATTTTAGGGGCAGTCAAACTAAGATTTGAAGGGGTATTAAAGGATTTTAAAAGTGATAGATTTGATTGGATTTACAAGGATTTAAGACTTCTACAAAATTCAAATAGATTTTAAAGAATTTGAATGAATTTAGTTTGTAGATTTTGGTGGATTGTGGTAGATTTTCATATAATTTTTTTATTGAAATAAACAAAGGGAAAATCTTTCCAATGGATCTCTGAATATTTTCAATTTCGGGAGCTTTAGAGTACTGTGCTGCTTCTGTGACTGGGTCTTGCAAAAAAATATGGTGTATTTGCATAGAGGTTTGTGACTGAAATTGCAGCGAAGGAAACTGAGTCTTGGGGGTGTTAATTGGAGTTATTGTACGAATTGGTATTGTCCGTTGGGCGCCCTCGCAGCTTTGATGGTTTTAACTTACCCAGGTCCAAAGAACTGCCTTCCTCCTCTCCAGGCCTTGCCGCCGCCAATATATTTAGTCTTTAAATTTTCCAATTGTATACTTTTCTTATACAATGTGATGCAACTACAGTCATGTTTTCTAATGATCTTTTGCTCGTCTGTGACTACTTATTCAGCAGCAGTAGCAGTAGATGGAAAAGGATTTGAAATCCTAGGGGTGGGTTGGATTCTGTTTAGTCTTTGTTATATATACTTTTTACTCTTAAATCCCACAAAATTCACAACTTATTGAAATCCTCTAAAATCTTAGGGGGTGTAGTCAAATAAGGATTTAGAGGGATTTTAAGGGATTTTAAAGGATTTTAAAAGACTTTAGAATCCAGGAGTAGTCAACTAGGATTTTAAAAGAATTTAAGAGAGTCCATTTAAATACAGGGGTAGTCAACTAAAAGATTTTAGAATTTTGGGGTAGTCAACCAGGATTTTAAATGATTTTTATTGAGTCTATGCTAATCTATATGTGTCACATCCCGGCCCGGGGCAGATCACTTCCCGGGCCTACTCCACCACCGTAGCACGATATTGTCCCCTTTGGACTTACCATTCCCTCACGGTTTTGTTTTTGGGAACTCACGAGCAACTTTTCAATGGGTCACCCATCATGGGATTGCTCTAGCTTCCTTCTCGCTTAACTTCGGAGTTCCTACGGAACCCGAAGCCAGTGAGCTCTCAAAAGCCTCGTACTAGGTAGGGATGAGAATATACATATAAGGATCACTCCCCTGGGCGATGTGGGATGTCACAATATGTATTCAAAAATTTATAGATTTTGAAGGATTTCATTGAATGAGTGATTTTGTAGGATTTGAGAATAGATGGTAAGCTTAAAAAGACTATAAAGAATCATACCTCCACCCCTAGGATTTATTTCAACCCCCTTCTCTCTCTCTCTCTCTCTCTCTCTCTCTCTACACAACTGAGCTTTCTTTCTTTCTCTCTTCCCATTTCATTGAGAATATTTCTTCTTATTTAGATTGCTTTTTGGAGGTGTATAACACGCAAAGGCAAATCAAGCTAATTATCCACTGCATCCCTCCCTGACGAGGTAATCTGAGCTTCATTGCTAATACTGATATCGTTTTCCAATTTGCATAGGAGTGAACCTATTTACAGTGTTGTCGCAATACATAGTTAGAGATAGGGTTAATTCAAGTTTTGGTTAAGTATATTGTATATATTCGTTTGTCAATTGCATGGATGTTTTTAGAGATAGGGTTCTTCTTGAAATTTCATAAATACCAATGTGATTGGTATGCGTTTACTATTGAATCCCTCTGATTGCTGTTGTTTGTGCCTCTTCATGGTTGAACAATATATTTTCCTTAATGCGTCAACAATGCTTTGATGCTGGTTGCTTGTGAGAAGTTTTTCGTTACTCTTGTAAGGCTGATGTAATGCTGAAGCAGTTCTTCCATTTTATGATTTTGAGGTCCTTTGCAACGAGGAATAAAATGGTAGTGGCAGAAAATGGCATGTGCTATGTCCAATTAAAACATGGAGGGTTGGGAGAACTAGGTGAAGTTCTTAAATTTTCTTTTCAAGTTTTTATTATTTTTAATCTTTATTTTCTATTTAAAAAATATTTTTTTTTCAAAATGACAAAAAATCTCTCAAAATCCATTCAAATCTTTAATCAAAATCCATAAAAATCCTTAAAAATCCATCTGAAAGTTGTAAGGAATCTACAATCCTTTGAAATCTGTCACTTTAAAAAGTCTTTTAAAATCCTGTGAAATCCAAATTGACTACACCCTCCTTAATTTTTTTGAATACACTTAGATTTGAATGAATTTTGAAATCCTTTAAAAAATTTTAATAGACTACACCTAGATTTGAATGGATTCTAAAATCCTTTAAAATCTTTTAGTTGAACACATTAGGATTTTAAAGTCTTTTAAAATCCTCTCAAATCTAAGTTTGACTACACCCCCTTAATTGTTGGTGCGTGGAGAAGGAGGGTTTGAAGATTTATAAGGTGAGGCCCACTATAAAAAAATCATATTTTAATTTTTCTTTCTTAGAAATCTAAAACAAATTTATTTTTATCTGTCCCATGTGGCATGTTATTGACTGCAACGTCAGTAAAATAATGGGATCTGTAGTTGCCACACAATTAAGTAACGGTCAAATTAACAGTTTGACTAACGTATATATAGTATTGAAATAGAATAATACGTAATGTAGGAGATTGAAATATTTTAAAGATGTTGTATAATGTTGGAATAGAAATCAAACTAGAGGGTGCAAATTCTAATTTACTCAAAAAAGAAAGTGACGTACTGGCTCTGAAATGTTTGCTAAATTAATGGAATATGGCCCATAGAGGAACAAGTTTGACCAAATTTACAATTCCTAGGCTCTGGTCTAATTTTCATTCAGAGGAAAGAAAACATATAGCCGAAATAACCCAATCAGAATGCCAAACAAATTGATGGAAAATGTAAAACTGGTTTTCAGTTACTATGTCAAATATTCAGCATGCTATATATCAAGCAAAACTATATGATAATAAATAGGACAAATGGCGTTAATACACGATGTCAATGATTTGATATGTGTATATTTAAACTATTTCGAAATGTGGTTCAACGATCACAATTGTTCAGCTTTTAAATTCTATTTTAAAATTAATTCATGCAAAAATTGTTTTTGGCGTCGGCATTTGCATTTCTCACTCTTAGAGTCTTATGTGTTTTGTTTTTTTCGAACTATTATTGGCACTCCATGTACATCATTATGCCGCTCTAAAAAAGAAAAGAGAATAAAAACAACGCTCGTAAATGCTATGTATATTTGTATGTGAAATATGATTCCCCCTTCCAGTATCTTTAAGTGTCAATAAATTGTGCAAAGAATGAGACTAAAGGGAATAGAGCTCTCATTGGGTTCCATGTAAAGTTATTTACTCCGTCTCTTGTTCATACATGTAACTAAAGATTAAAAACTTTGATATGGAAAAACTTTATTTAGTATCTTTACAAAAGGTCAACTTTTTAGATTGACTTTTAATCAACACCCTTAATTACTTGTTGTGAAATCATACACACAAATATTGAATTTTCATGCCACTTGTAGCTGGCTGCCGGTATTTCTCCCCGGCAGGCTGCCAAGGTTGATTGACTGGGCTCGCGCTCAAGCTCGACTCAACCGACCACTATGGTCAACGTATAATAAGAAAGTAATCTACATAAATCCAGTAGTGATTTTGATAATCAGAAAGTAATCTCTCAACTTGTTTGTGATTATAGTTGCTTTGATACCATCATAGGGACTTTTATCATACTTACAAATTGATTTTGGTATACCCATTCGTAGGTTTAAAATTTTTGTCAAACCCAAAAGTTACCTTGCTGGGTATATTTAAAAAGTAGTTTAATTAATCAATATTACTATGGTAGTTTTCAGGTATATGTTAAATGGAATGAATCCTTTTGGTTTTATTTTTAAAACTACGTATCTGTGGTAAGGAGGGATACCTATTGAAGTTTTGAATTTTCAGTAAATCTGATCATCAGATGCTTAAAGATTTGAATTTTTAAAGTGGTTCCACAAAAATTTGCAAAATGGATGTTATGTTGCTTGCAGCGGTAGATTGTTCAGGGTTTAGGGTTTAGTTGAAAAAGATATACCAAAAAAAAACTAGGTAATGGGGCATTATATTTTGATTTTATATTTTGGGGGGTTTTGTGTTTGAACTTTTTTAGTATTTTTTTTAGATACAAATGTAGACCCAAAGGTTGGACATAATCATTACTTTGTATTACAATTATTAAAGTTAATTATCTTTTATATAGAAAGCCGGAAGCCGGTTTTGGTGTCACCGGCCTCGACAAAAGAATTGGACGCAAATGCCTGTCGGCCAAAACAAATTCGAAACGGCTAAAATGAATGCACAAAATTATCCAAGAGTAATTTTGTCATAAAGCTATTTTTAAAGAACGAAGTCGCTGGAAGGTTTCAGTTGCCATCCTCTTTTCTGCTTCTTTCTTTCCGTCTCTTTCTGCCCCAGTTTCTTTATCTCTCAAACCCTAATTTTTCTGTCTTTCTGATCTCATCTCTCTACTCGCGCCGATCAGTCGAACACCGTCCGGGAATGCGTCTCCGAATTCATTAGCTTCGTCACCAGCGAGGAATTTTCACCTCTCTCTCTCTATCTCTCGTTCTCTGTCTACTGTTAGTCAAATTTGTTTAGATCTTTTCATCGGGGTTACAAACGGCAACACTCTCTTGCTGAAGAATAGCGAATTTGGTCTCGGTTTGAAGAAAATTTGAAGCCCATAAAAGATTACATCTCCTGCTGTCGATTTGATTTGGGTAATTGTCTGCTTTGAATGTAATGTGCTTGGGAGTGTAAATTTGGATTTTAAATGGGTTTTTTGTTCAAATTTTTTGGTTGTGATTTTGGGAATTTTGTTTTGTAGCTTCGGATTATAGGTGATGATGGTTAATTTGGTTTTGTTTTCGATTTCAGGAGATTGGGTTTTTCGAGTTTGTGACTTTTCTTTGAAGCCTGCGAAGACCTGTGTGTTTAAGGTCAGTGGTTTTGAAATTCCAAGGTTTTGATTCTACTTGCAGCCTGAGGTGTGATTTTAACCCAGATTAGTTAATATAATTAATTTTTTTTTTTTTTTTCTGATTATGTAACTGAAGTAGCTAAAGTTAAGAAAGAACAACTGTGGCTTAAAGTCTTCATATTTGAAAGTTGAATCTCAGCCTTTGAGAGGCTTTTTGAACGTGTGCTCACGTATGCAGGGGATATCAGTATTTATTTGCTTGTTGGTTCTTAATTTTTGTGTTTCGTTTTGGATTTGTTAATATATCATTTTGTGCATCTCAGTCTGTGAATCGATGTTTTAGATTGGATTTTTGTGGTTTTGAATTTGTGTGCCTGAGAAGAGTTATCCAAAGGTTTGATTGAACATTTTTCCTCGTTCTGTTGCAATTTTGCTGTCGTTGTGGCCCTTTGTGAGACTTTGATTTGTCTTTTTTTTTTTTTTTTTTTTTTCGCTCTGTACAACTTTTGTAAAAGTGAAGTGTTCGTTTTCAATTTTGAGATTGAATTCAAGCAGATTTCCAAGTTTTTTTTTTATTAATCTTAAATCATATTAGTTAATTATAGTTAAATTAATTTTATTTATTTTTTTATGTTATGTTGCTGAAATAGCTAAAGTTGAGAAAGAACAGTTGGAGCTTAGAGTCTTGCACTTGGGAGTGTAAATTTGGATTTATAAATGGGTTTTTTTGTTTAAATATTTGGGTTGTAATATTGGGGATTTTGTTTGTGGCTTCGAATTATGGGTGATGGTGGTTAATGTGGTTTTGTTTTTCGGTTTCTGACATTTCTTTGCAGCCTGCGAAGGCCTCTGTATTTAAGGTCAGCATTTTTAAAATTCTACGCTTTTTATTAGATTTGCAGCCTGACATGTAATTTTAAAGCTGAAATTTCCAAGCTTTTCAATTAATCTTAAATCAGATTAGTTAATTATATAAATTAATTTTTTTTTTCTTTCTATTATTTAGCTGAAATAGCTAAAGTTGAGAATGTTGGATCTGTTGCCTTAGGGAAGAAATTTTAAACCTACAAAAGCTTGGTTTTCAGGAAATCGCCAATCCTGCAGACACTTTGGGTTTCCTGGTGAGTTCTCTGACTTATTTGTTTCGGGTTTGAGTTCTCTTTTCTTTGTTCAAATTTTTGTTGACTTTAATTTTAAAAATCGAGGTTTTTTTTTGTTCAATGATTTTGTCCATCTTATTAGCTTTCTCACCAGAGATCTCCGCCATCACTGCTCCACCAAACTCGCTGATAGCGTCCACTCTCTCAAACCAGGTACGACTTCTTTCACTTTCTTTTGTTTCCGGGAAAATTTAGGGCTCGAAAGTGTGTAGAATTTTAGAAGTAAAAAAAAATCTCAATCTTTGTGTCGTCCTGTACAACCATCTTATTCTACCATTGTAGCATAAAGTTGCACATATTATTTGGTTTGTAGATAGAATTATTTGTGTTTTTTAGTACGGGAATTTGTAGTCAACATATCATTTTCTGCAAGACTGAAGATTAGTCTGTAATGGATATACAGATCTTTGAGAGGATACCCATCATTTGGCTGATTGCATAGGATTGCTACATCTGAACACTGTACAGGTATAGTTTCTTTTTATATTACCTTGAATTAACAAAAAATGGTACTTATCTTCGTTAATTCGAGAAGATAAGAACTGTTTGTTGTCAATTCAAGGTGACATTAGCTTCTCCTCAACTAATGTCTGCCCTGTTCCTTTTACTTTTATGTCTACCTTTTTTGTTAACAAATCGTTTGGCCTCCCATTTTTTACCACACTTATAGATTATAGTAAAATCAAGCTTAAATGAGATAGTTTTAGGAGGAATTTAGGTTTATTTGTGGCTGTGAAGTTTAATATTTAGTTAATTACATTTACAGGCGATGAGATAGTTTTTGCCTATTCTTCCACTTGGTTTTTGAACGGCACAAAATTATGGTTTTGTAAAATTGACAGTCAGCCCGTGCATTAAATGGACTGTTTATTATCTTTGAGTTAATTAGATTCAAGCAATTGAGGTTGACTAACTTTTTGATCATCAATTGTTGATGTGCTACTTATCTAATTGGGTACATTGTATATATGCATGACCTGATGGTATTCCTTTAAATTACTTATATGCAAAAATTGTTTTCTGTGATGGTTCTAAATGATTTGTTAGATGCTATTTTGGCTTCAGTTGTTTTTCTTTTTCTTCTACTGATCATTTCCTATGTGGTTGATTTATAGGCCTCTAGAAGTTTGAATTGTGATTGGAAATTGCAGTCCACACATGGAGTATAGGTATAACCACTACTTATTTTTCTTATTACTTTTCCTTTAAATGTCTTTTGAGTCTGAGATTGAGTCTCTATAGATTGTAAATTTCAGACACATGCATACTTCAGTGCATACAAGAAAGCCAATGTTTTTCTTTTAGGTATAAAGAGCCAAATACGTTATAATATATATATATATATATATTTCTTCAATGAATGCTTTGGTGTTTTTACTTTTAATTGTTTAGTTTAATGGTTGTTTGGATCCTTAAAAATATTCTTCGTTCAAATGTCTTTTTGGATGGATAATTAAATCGATATAGATTATGTTACCTTTTGCTGTATCAGATTTGTCATTTTCTTACTGGCTTCAGTTCTTTCTTTTTTTTGGTTTGTTCTGTATATTTACATGGGTTTTGTCTGTTCATTTCTTTTTTTCTGGATATCGTTTAGATTGATATTGTGAATGTGTTGTTTGGTTCTGTTTTTTATTTCAGGAGGTGCGGCTTTTCGTATTTTTGGCCTTTTTTATCAGCTGTTGTAACATTTTTGTAATAGAGGTGAGTAATTTACATATTTTTTCAAGCCTTTCTCTAAGAAAGTAATAATTTTTTATGAAAGTTGTGAGACTTCACTTCTATATTATCTCATGGTTAAATGTGTTTGATGTTATTTTATGAATATGTTAAATGGGTTAAGATGCATATTGTTGTTTACAGAGTAAAAAATAGTTAGCTGCTGTTTTTTGTGTTTTGGGGATTTTATTAGATTTGAAAGACGGAGACGAAATTAATTTTGAACAATCTGTGTGTGGGGAATGCTACATATCGGATTTAGGTTATACTGTGCAAAGTTTTATTGTGTGTTGTTATCTGCGCTATACCATTTCTATGTAGGCTTCGAAAGTTATTCATGAGCTTTTATAAGCACTTTCCATATTTTAAGCTGTCATTTTGGGTTCTTTTCCATTAGGTCATTAGCTACTGAATGATGGAGAAATGAGGACCATGCCATTGATTTTGGGTTCTTTTTATAATTTTCTGATTTTGGGGTTTTGCAGGGAGCGCTGATGTACTGATTTTATGGGTTTTTTTTGTCCTTGCAGGATTTTGGGTCTTTGAAATGGTTACGTGTTGTTTTTAACTTTTTGGTTCTCGTGTGTTCTGTTCTTCATTGCTTCGTGATTCTCATTTTTCAGTATTGGGTAATGGAAATTTGTAAAAATAGTCGTACGTTTTTTTAGAAAGTTGGCATTTTTAGTTATATTTTATGTTTAATCCCAAATGTAAGACTAGAAAATAATTGAAATGATGGTTTTTTTAAAAACTCTTAATTTTTTTTTTCTTCTGGGATTTAAAAGCATCTTTTCCCGATTGGTTACAAGGGTTATGTTCTCTATAATTGGTTCACCATGTTTGATTAATTCTAAGTTTTGTCCTACTAATTTTTTTCTTCTGTGTAATGAGATATTTCTTTTGGTCTTTAAGATTTCGGCATGGGAATGTTCACCTTGTCTAATTAGATTGTGTATGCCTTTAGTTCTTTATTTAATTGTTCTGTTTGCGTTCGGTGTGATGATCAAAATTTTATATGTTTGGAATTATTCACTTAACACCAATTTGTTACATTCAGGTCTCCACCCCACACTTCACAAGTTCAATAGAAGACGGTTCTGTAGATTGTGTCTGCAATTAGATCAGAGATCAACCGTTATTTTGTTATCATTTAAATTATATAAGTCGCGCGTAGAGCGCCTTAATTACAAAAGGGTCTTCCGCACGCGCGTGAGTGCGTGTAGGGAGGCTAGTATTAACTAAAGTTGATTTGAATGTGATCACGATGGCAACCACTAACAATAAAACAACAATCTCCTTAATCTAGGAGAAAGAACCAACAGGTGAGGAAGAAAAGAAAGGAGGAAAGAGAGCTCTGCACATGCAAATGTCAGTGTACATGTAAAGCAGAAATTTCTCTTTCGTGTTGTTTATCTCTGTCTAGCTTTGGTATTTTGAGGGTCTCCGAGAATACAATAAACTGTGACTTGGTCTCAAAGCTTTCTTGCTATATGATATCATATAAGTAAATGCTAGAATGCTAAGTTTTAACCAAGACCATACTCACAAGCAAAATACAAATACAAAAGTCCATTTTAAAATGAAGGTCGTGATTTATCGACAGATGTTTCGTAAACATAGGAATTATGGATATGTAGGCATATGTATTTTAGCATTATGTGATGAATAGGTATATTTTCTTTGGGTATTGCATGTCATGATCACCACAGTGATGTTTGATGTTCTTCTTCAGGTGCTTCTTGGGGATGTTGGAGCTGGGAAATCAAGTTTGGTGTTGCGCTTTGTAAAAGAACAATTCGTTGAATTCCAGGTTTGTTCTATATCTTTCAAAGGATGCATTTTCTTTTTTATCCATACCTTTACTTTTATAGTATGTTATTACAAGAATCAATTGCCACCCGTAGTTGGTGGTATTATCTTTACAACACATTCAAAGCAGCGAATAAAATCGCACTTGCTATTTTTTCTGTCAATTGGACTACTAGAAAACTATAGAAATATTTGGTGAAAGCAATGAAGAAATCATTATGATTGATCTGCAAAGAAGCTCTAATAAGTTACAAGAGAGTAGCAATGTAAATTGAGCTACTTATTTTATGGATCAATTCACCTATCTCTTGCCTTTTCTTTTATTTGGAGATAATTGTGTAAATGTGTGGTTTTGTGAGCGTTACTCGTGAAACATGTGTTGTCTGAATTGCTACATTTAAGAATGCGATTGTATTTCTGTAGCATTTTCAGTTAATTTTTCTACGAATGTTATTCATGGTTTGAAAACCTGTAGCAAAGCGCGGGCATTCTTGCTAGTGATATTGATTCTGGAAGCATGCCGAAACAAGGTTGTTTGATCGCAATTCTTACACAAGAATTGCTCCTCCAATTAGGCTTCCACAACATCAATAACCCTTACGTTGATATGTACTTCCATTGCACCAAGGACGCCATGTCGATCGTGGAATTCCACAAAACTCTGATGAACCAAGTGCTTCCCTTGGCCTGGTCGCATAATCCCCTAACCACACACAAACTCATTTGCAACTTCATAGACAGACGCGGCGACGGTGAAAAACGCAACCAAGACGAAGCTTTCTTCACAGCGGCGGTTTGGCTCCACCAGAACCACTCGAAAACCCTTGCATACAATCTTGTGCCAATTTCCGGCTCCTTTGGACATATCCTACACCTTCCCTACATTCTTTTGCAGGTTTTACGGGGCGAAGCTCACTTGAAATTTACTGGAAGGACGAGGGAAGAGGCGGATTCAAACGGAATGGTGAAGGTCAAGGAAATGGATGCCAAGTCGGAGGTAAGCGAATTGTTGTTGAGGAGGAAGGTGATCCACACGGCCAACAAGGCGGCTCAAAAATACAAGCGCGACGTTGATTATTGCTTCTTGCACAACTGTGTTTTGGATATTTTTGCCCAGAGCCTCAAGTTTGATATTGAAAAATTTCATCATCACAAGGACCATGACCATCATGATGATTATTGCTTGGAGATTACCCAAGCAGTTACCTTTTTGCCTACCATCTCTGATCATCATATGTTGTTCGAAAACATTGCGAGGAAGGTTTTCCGGTCAGAATCATGCCTCTGAGAAGGGGATGGTAGTCTTTGTTGTATTGATCGACTGATGAAGGAGGTTTTGTCGCCGTTGAGAAAAACTATGGCGCTAGAGGCCAGGGAACCTGCCAACTGGTGGGGTTATAGAGCGGAGTACAAGCGAGAGCAACTGGCTGTAGCTAATGAGGTTGATCCTGGCGTGCAGCGCTGCTTTCGCATGACATATTAAGCTATATCAAGTATTTTGACCTTGAGCAAGAGGCTGATGTTAAGTGGAAGAAAATGATGGAGGTCTACTCAAATCAGGGGAAGCAGAAGAATTGGTTGGATGTGTGATGTCGACAACACCTTGTCGGCGGGTTTGGCTTTGGGGCTTTTGTTGCTTCAATTGAGTGACGAGCCATGGAAGGGAAATGTGGTCACCTAAAGCAAAGACCCTCAGCTGCATTCGATACAAGGCGAGGATCTTAATTGGAGGGCCGAATATATGCAAACTTTGATCAAAAGCTAGGACTGGACGGCTGATTTCGGGAACGTGTTCGATGTGATTCTAGAAGAGGTAGTGAATGCGAATTTGAAGCTAAATAAGATGGTCAAGAAGGTGTTTGCCTTGACCACATACAAACACTTCTTGACAGGCAGCAACTTGAGCTTCTGGGGGGAGATTAAGATGTCTCCCTTTGTTCTTCTAGTTTATGCTACTACTTTCACTTCTCCAAAGCTCTCCTTTCTTTGAGTTCTGATGAGACTAAGAGAAAGTATATATAGGGGCATATGTGTTGCTAATAAGTGTGTGTGTGTGTATGTGTGTATACATGTAATTAATACTTTTATAGAGAAGAGCAAAGTGAGTGACAAGAACTAAAAAAGTGGGACTGGAAAATGGTAGGCTTATAACGTTCAAATTCTAACAGTCACTTTGAGTGGGGCAATAAAAACGAATAAAATGTGGGGCCTGGACTTGTTGCCTCAAGTGATCTGGCACTGGCACTTCCAAATGTAAAGAAAAAGGGCACAAAGACAACTAGATGAGCACCATAGCCTTAAATGGGTTGATCTTGCTTTGGAATTTTTGGTTGATTCGAGGTTATTTTTCAATTGAGATTTGCTTTGGTGAGCATGAACTTCCCTACATTTTCGTTTTACCCAGCCCCACCGTTGAGACCACTCATGTGAGAAACAAGTAATAATCAAAGATTTTCTTCAGGTGACATTGATCGATGAACAATTAATAATCATTCATGTAAAAGAGGTTGCTTATGCAAAAACCTTACCAAAGAGTCACAATACGATGACACTAATGAATCAACAATTGGCATTAACTCATCTAGAGCCAACTCGTGGCTTTTGTTTATAGGCATCTACGAAGGGGTAAAAAGAGCGTGTGAAAATCAGTTCTCAATATTTCTCACCTTCCTTCTCCTTTAATGTCAGCTAGCATTGAGTGACGTTTACAGAACCACCACTTGCATTGCTGCCTCCCGATTGATAGTTGAGGCGAACATTACTACCTTTGGATGAAGTTGATGGGGTATCATCCTCCACCAAAAATCTACTTGTTAACGATGTCGTTACATCTTTAAAATCATAATCTGTCAAATAGCTCGGCTTTGACATGACAGTGCCTATGTCAATATCTCCAGAGAGCATTGCCACCACGCGTGACATAGATGGCCTCGTCATCGGTGATGCCTGCGTGCACAGGAGAGCTGCTCTTATCAGTCTAGTCGCTTCAGTTTTGTCAAACTCTGTCAATCTGGGATCCACCAGCCCGAGAGTTTGGTCGTTTTCATGTAGAGTCCATACCTAAAAAAACATCATGCCACGGTCAAAGGAACGTATAAATAAGTTCTTCACAACAATGCCAAAATGAAGCTAAGCGAAAGCAATTCCTACCCATTCAAGAAGATAAATCTTTTCTGGATCCAAGTTATTGTAAGAGTCTGGTCTTCCACTGAGGATCTCCAAAACAACGACTCCAAAACCAAACACATCGGCCTTCTCTGTCAAATGTCCAAACAATGCATACTCTGGTGCCAAATAGCCTCTACAATGCAAGATAATCAAATGGTTGCACAATGTTTTTTGAGATCATTAGTGGCATTATTAACATGATGTGTCTTATAATTTCATGCAAGTATAAATGTGTGTGGCTATAATATATGTAACCTATGGAAAAACAATAAAGGATGGCTTACATTGTCCCTGCAACCCGGGTGCTGATGTGGGTTTTCTCGTCATCATAAAGCTTTGCCAATCCAAAATCTGATATTTTTGGGGAGAGTTCTGCATCGAGCAAAATATTACTAGCTTTGACATCTCGATGTACAACCCTTGGCCTTGACTCCTCATGAAGGTAAGCAAGTCCTCTTGCTGTTCCCAACAATATATTGAATCGAGTAGGCCAGTCAAGGTGCAAGTTACTTGTTCCTGAAATATTAGTGAACACATCCAATCAGAAACATTTCTTAACAATTTTAGAGTGCTTGAAATTGCAAACAATGTTGTTTTTGTGAACCTAAAGGTAGATAGGTTTGTACCAAAAAGTGCCTGATCAAGGCTCTTGTTTTCAAGATACTCATAAACCAAAATGTGGTGGCTGCCTTCAATGCAGCATCCATACAATTTCACTAAATTTCGATGTTGCACAGCAGATATGGTAGCAATTTCAGATACAAATTGCCTCTTCCCTTGGTGAGATGATACTGAAAGTTGCTTCACAGCCACTACTCTACCATCAGAAAGTGTACCCTACAATGTACACAGAAAGACAATTTCGTGACGTGAAAGGAAAGAAAACAAAAGCTATTTTCTTCTCTTGCTCTCTCTCCTTTCTCTTGTCATTACTTCAAGTACATGATATTGATGTAATACGAATTTCACCTTATAAACGGGGCCATATCCTCCCTCTCCTAGCTTATTTGAAGGATTAAAATCTTCAGTTGCAGCTCTCAATTCAGCATAACTGAAAGTATATGGTCGGGGGCCTAATCCTAGAATATCTGCACATTCACAAAACAGTATGATGTAAGGTTTACTTTCGTGAAAGCATTCTTACTTCTGTGTGTTGATGTCAGAGCAGAGAAACTTGAATTGGGTACCAGTAATGATATGGTCGTTTACCTTCATCATCTTCTTTTTCTGATTTTTTCCTCCTCATATATAGAATTGCAAATATTAATAGCAAGCTCACAACTCCAACAAGAACTGCAATACCAACTGTCAACCCAGTCTTGCTCTTCTTTGTAAAATCTAAGTGATAAAACAGACGAATTCTTCAATGTCAATTAACAGCAGAAAAATACATTTAAAGCACTCACAAGAAATCTTTATAAGTTAACACATACTATACCTGAAGTAGCATGGATAGCTGCTATTAGTGGGCCGTAATCACCATATTTGGGTATGCAACAAGTCCCTTTACCAGCCCAGAACAGATGAATTTCAAGATAATTCTCTGACACGTTAACATTAAATTTTCTCACAACTGCTCGGTTAACACCATCTGCCTCCTTGGATATGTCAAAGTCCTTCGTCTTGCGGGTGCCCTAGCAACCAAATGAAGAGGTAGGTGATAATTCTAGTCTCTTTTAAATCACTGTCTTTAGTTAATGTAGCTTAAAACATCAAAAACCTGTCCAATGAGGTGTTTACTTCAAATAAGTTAAGAATTTTTATTCTATAAGCAGTCTTACCTGAATATAGATATCAAATACACGCCGTCCTAGACTTTTCCAAGTTTGCGAAGTGCGACTTTCATAAACTGTCTCTGCAAAGTGCAATGTTACAGTGTAGGGGCCATTCACAAGGCCCAGGCCATAGTATCTCAGTGATGCTGTGGACAGTCTTGAAGTCTGGTAAAGCGCTGGGGTCACATTTGTTCCGGTGACTTGTGCAAGGGTCTTGTTCAACGATGGGGTATAATCGATAGAAAACAAACCGGTATTGCTGACAGCCCAATTCTCTGTACTGGTTACACTGAATGTTGCTGGACCAAGATCCGAGTCGTCAGTCACATACAATATGCCATCACTTCCCGTCATTTGCGGTCCCCCACAGTTGATTGAGA